CCACACCTGCTGCCTCCTCCCCTCAGGCTTTGGCCCCCAGTGTGCCCTCCCTGACCCTGACCCCCACCACACACACCTCTCATCTCCCTCCCTCTGCCATGCCCTCCCCTATAATCATAGAGGGACACAGGGGTCCGCTGTGCCCACCCCACCCTGTCCCCGGCCCCTTGGCCTCCTCCCTCTGACACCTCGCCTGCAAGTCTGGAACGTTCTGCTCCCAACGTGTTTCCAGATTCCCAGCGTCCTGAACCTCCATGGCGACCACCTGGTCCAGGCCCCGCCCTCTGCCCGTCTGTGCAAAAAGCAATGATTTGGGGGACCCATTGGGGCCTCAAGGGCAGAGGGTGTGGTCCTGACACAGGCATGCCCATCCAGGCCGCTGTGTCCACGCCGGCTCTGCTCTCTGGTGACCAGGCGAGGCGGTTCCCAAACTTTCCGCTCACCAATCCCTCCGGGCACGGTGAGGGTCGGCCGACAGCCTGGGTCTCCACTGTGTTCCCGTGTCTCCGGCATCTGGCACACCGTGGGGGGAATGAGTGAATGAGTGAATGAATGAATGAATGAATGAGTGGATGGATGAACGAGTGGATGGATGGATGAGTGGGTGGATGCGTAGGTGAAGTGCTGGGTCAGGCCAGCCTTCCAGGACCCCAGGCCCGTGTTAGGGTCCCTGGACAGGTTCCGCCTCTCCGCCTCCTGCAGTCCAGGCATAAACACTCAGTGTGGGGACTCCCAGCGCCGCTGGCGGGCGGAGCCGGGAGTGACCCTTGGACCGAAGCCCGGCCAGGACCGGCCACAGCCGAGGGCGGGTCCGTTCTCCTGGCAGTTTCTGTTCGCCCAGCTTTCCCACAACCTCGCGCCACCAACACCTCTTCTTCCCAAACGGAAAAGACAAAGGCGTGTTGTGTGGTGGTAACGGCTGTAAAGTGAAGCCGCAGACACCCGGGAGGGAGGGTGTGGGCGGAGACAGCCCTGCCCGCCTGACCTGCCCGCTCCCTGTCGCGCCGGGAGGCCGCCAGCCTTCCGTCCATCCGTCCGTCTGTCCCTCCCTCCGTCCCTGCTGCC